TATGGGCCAAATACACCATTTGTCTCTCTCCAGCCTTCCTGGACCCACCCAAGTGTCTGCTCCCAAGCCGGTCATGACTGAGGCAGGCCATCTCACAGATCCTTACTCTGGCCAGCTGGTGAGGGGAGCATCAGTCTTGCTGTCCAGGCCCACATTAGACTGGAGAGCAGCGTAGTCTGAATACCTGCTCCATCCCTTCTGACCTCTGGGACTTTGGGCAAATTACTTAACCACGCTGAGTGTCAGTTTCCTTGCTGTAAAATGAGGATAATATATCGACCTTACAGCATTATTATAAGGATTAAAGGAATAAGTGTGTAATAATCCTCAGCCCCGTTCTGAGACTGTTGTAAGCTCTCAATAAATGTTAACTGTCACCATCAGTATTATCAACACCTGGCATCATCTGTTGTGTTAACTGTTTTGTAACTTGGTGAACATTAAGCTACTTAAGGCTCTGATGTTGATAAAGAATCCCAGTCAGATTTTTTTTGGTGGGGGGAGAGGGAGATAGTTTTCAAAAGTGACCTTTTTCTTAAATTTCTCAACTTTCTTTTTCTCCTTCTTCTCTCTAGTGATACTATTTGTCTTTTAGATTGTAGGAAAACAACCAAACTCGTGTCCAAGCTCTCATGCAAACACCCTTGCTTGGTTGCATCTTTATTATGCACCATTTGTTTGGGTCAAAAATGATTTTTCTTTTTATGAAGTTTACAGTAGAGGGTCAAGTTACCTGCCCGTTTTCTTCCCAGGACACTCCCGTCCATGGACATGTCTGAGGTGTGGTGAGACAGGCAGAAACATAAAGACACATGTGGGAATAAATGTGTGAATGTATTTAGACTGTATTTGGAGAAACTGGGCTTTCACCGCCATCTAAATTCAACAGAGTTGAATGTTCAGACCAAACAGTGGTTAGCCGTTGACACCAAAAACCATTTGCAGCCCAAATTAGACACAACAAACCTGGGAAAGAATTTTGAAAAATCCAAACCTTGCAACCCACCCCTCACCTCAGACTACTTGAGGCATCAGAAGTGAAGGGAAACGTGCGTGCCAAGAAGAGCCAGGAGGCTGGAGCAGATTCCTCGGGCTGTAGCAGGTGAAAAACACATTTGCTGAAGCAGCCCCCAAGCATGTTTGGGGATTGAGGTGAAAAGCTGGGGGTGTTTATAAGTCAGGGCCCTTGGTCCTGCTTCCCCTGTATGCCCACTAGGAAAAGCTGTCAGAGCTAGGCAAGAGCTGGGTTATCCTTATGCAGATGTGACTGGTAACAAAGTAGGGAAACTCAGAGATTCAGAGCATGAGTCTGGCCAAGGCTGAGCCTGCAAAATCGAGACAGGATTATAGGTAGGTGGAGTGAGTGGACTTGGAAGACTTGGGTGGGCCAGAGAAGGCAGGCCCGGCAGGAGAGGGGAGCCTCCACCACCCCCGGGGGCTGCTGCTTCTAGGTTACTATGAAGAAATGTAGGCCTAGTGTAGTCCAATCTTCAGATGTCTTAAGAAATGCTGCAAAAGCTCCTGATTTTCAAATGTTGGCGACCACTGAAACACATTTTACAGCACTGTGTACAGGCTAAAGCAAACCAACCTGTCTGCTGGATCCAGCTTCTGAATTCTAGGTGGGGGCTAACTTTTATCTTACCTCTGATGCTTGGGGGTTGTCAGGGGTGGGTTGAGAGCCCGCATGTAGCCACATTCACTCCTCCGCCCGCATCTCCCTACCGCTAAATTAATCTAGCCTGAGAACTGTTTTGCAGCTTTGAGAAAAGTGAAGCTCAAAAATCAAAGTATAAGCCCAGACAAAAACCTTCCAGGTAGGAGCCTCAAAGATTGAGCTTTACTTTTATTTTTTACGTATTTTGTCATGTCCCAGAATGGCTGGCCATGTTAAAATTGCAGATGTGATAGCCACCCAAGCTCTGTAGATCCTCCCAGCACAGGACAGGCTTGGGAAGGAAAGGAGGAATGGTAGGGAGCAAGTAACAGCCCCAAGACCACCCAGGGGGCTGGGGACACCAAGTCAGGGGCCAAATGTATGTCCCTGCCTCCAAGGACTTTTAGTTTGGGCCCTGTATTCCTATCTGCTCCCCTGGGATTTGGAATGTGCAGACCATGGCTCTGCGGGGGTCCAGGGGAGCAAGGTTTGCAGAAAAAAGTGTTGTGCTTGGGAGGAAAGAGTGAAGTCAGCGTGTTCCCCTTGGGTCCCCAGCAGCAGGTCAAGGTCACACCTCTACGTTTTCACGTTGACCAAGCAGGGACCGTCCTCAGGAGCCCAAATGCTGAAGAGGCCAACACGTCTTGGAATGCGGGCCAGCATCAGAAGACACAGGCTGACCCCAAATCTCCAATTCCTGGCAAGTGCTGTAGCAACCCCATCAGTCAGGGCTTCTAAAGGCTGCACAGCGTGCCTTCACCAGCTCTGCGTCGTTGGGCAAAGGGAAGAAGAGGAAGGCAAAAACAAAAACAAAAACAAAAACACAAAGAAAACAAAAAAATAAAAGGCAAGATACAGCTCCTGTAAGCCTAAAGGGCTGGCTGCTAATCACCACGGTGGGAGCCTCTCTCCCCACACCCGCCTTGCCTTTCCCGCCGATACCAAAGTACCTGTCTCACCCACGAGCACACGCGAACCTTTCACTTTGTTCCCTAGAGCTCAGACACTGGGGCTGCTCAGAAAGATCTGGGAGCCAGCAGAGCATTGTGGGTACTGACATGCAAATGAGGAGCACAACCAAGCGTGTCCCACATTGCTTCAGAGGACCTGAATTTTTTATGGCTTGTATGTGCTTTTTGATGTTTTCATTGTCTCCAGCATAACTGATATGCATTCCGATTCTGACAACGAGAAGTTTCTTTCTTTCTTTCTTTCTTTCTTTCTTTCTTTCTTTCTTTCTTTCTTTCTTTCTTTCTTTCTTCTTCTCCTGGAGCCCGTCTTCTCTACCTCAAAACAAAACAAAACAAAAACAAGGGGGTTAAAAAAAACAAACCCCAAAACCAAAAAAATCCACTGTAACAAACTGAGGTTGCTTTAAGAAGTGAAATATTTTAAGCAATCCAACCACAGATGCAACCAGGAAAGGAAAACATGTTGATTCTCTTAAATTCCTTGGAGGAAAACAGCTCCAACTTTCCTACCTCACTTAAAGGGACAACTTCCAGAAGGGGAAGGGGGGGCAGTGCTTTTTTTTTTTTTTCTCATGGTGGTCAGTGGTGAAGAGGCCATTGCTATTATGAAATCTGCCTTCCCCATCTGTTTGCACTTGCTCCTAATGAAGTTGGGGAAGTTCATTTGGAAAAAGTGAGAGCCTTACTGGACCTCCTCCCCTACACACACACACATACACACACACACACACACACTTTGAGGACGAAATGAGCTTTTAAGGGGATCATTTCATTTGACAGCCATTTGCCCTCAAAAGATCCAGAACACCATCCACCCACTCCAAATACCTCAGATTCAGTGGTTTTTCTGGTTTGGCTGAGGGAAGGAATTTCTGGACAAATCACAAGAAAGTCATTCCTGAGAGAATCCTGCCAACTGCCCGCCCCCCCAACACAGGTGACTAAGCTTGTCAGGTAATGGGCTTGGTCTGAGAGGACCTGTCTGAACCTGGATGTGGGACCCTCCGAGCATTCCAGCTTCATTCCAGCCTTAACCATGCAAAAAAAATACAGGGCAAACCTTGTCAACGTGAACACAATGGCAATATCTATAAAAATCCTAATGAACCTTGCATTTTGCTCGCCATTCTACTCATCCAAGAACTTGCGACTCATCGTTCCGGCCTCTATATGCCTCTTCCGTCCAAGTTCAGCATCATTCTTTCCATTCAGCACCATGCTGTGCTTCCATGGCCTCGGATGACTTGTCCGCCAAGAAAAGACAGCTTCCCCACTCCCGAGTGCCCCACTCCCCACCCTCCACATCCTGGACAAGTTAGACCCACTTGCTTTTTCACATCCTTCTTTGGAACTTTCTCCCACATTCCTCCACCTTCTCTGGAATTCCTCCACAGATTCCGAGTGCCTCCAGGCTCTGAGGCCAGAGCTGCAGAGTGGCACCCTCGGACTCAGATCTGCTCCTCTAACAACTTCTGTCTCCATCCTCAGCTCCCAGCAGCTTCCCTGGCTCACAGTCAGTGTTTCAAATATTTCTGAATGAAAGAAGGCAGCACTCCATGTTTATTAAACACTTGGCATCTAATTTCCACTAAAGGCCTATAACGTAGGTATTAGCATTTTCATTTCACAGGTGATAAATTTGAGGCCCCCAGAGAGTACATGACTTGCCCCAAATCTCCAACTGTTAAGTGTCTAAGGTTCAGAGATCTCCCGGTGACACACCCTTTGTCTCCAGAAGAGACACCTCTTAGCCCCTTCTCCATTGTCAAGACATTGCCCACAAATAATATTCCTGGGACCTTCGCAATGACCCCATCAGATAGTTATTAATAACAACCCTGCTTTACAAACGCAGGACCGGGTAGCATAAATCCCTGCGTTCTTATTGCAGTCCTGCTATTCTTTTCCAGAACCTTCTTTGAAAGACCACAACAACTGCTGTGATGAAAAAGAGTCTGATTCTCCCATAGCCTAAGCCCCTGGGAGGAGGGGGTGGGGGAGGTCGGTGAGGAATTCCAAGAAGCCATGTTAACCTTTTCAATTACAAACGCCTTGAGGGACTTCATTCTCAAAACCACTCTGAAGACCACAAGCATTTATGATCCTTCTAAATATACCCACATGAGCCTCCAGAAGTATCTCAGGTAGTCAGAACCCAGCTCCATAAAACACATAAATACATTTAAAATAGAAGTAACTGTTTCCACCCTTCTATTTTTTGTTTAATGACTGAGTGTACCCCAAATAGAAATGTTGGCAGCCACCCCTTTTAATAGCACTATTTATATTTAACTTATCAGGATATAAATGGAAGCACAGTAGGCTCACAGCAGATCTTGGTTTATTTGCTTTCAACTTCAGAGCCAGGCAGTCCTGAGTTCCTACTGGCAATAAAAATAAAGAAACACAAGTAAGCGTTCTCACCTCATCTCCGGCTTCCAGCTATCCTGCCCTTTGGTACATCCAGTTTCTCCCACTGGAGCATCTCAGGGGTGTCCTGTGGGGAAAGGAGAGAGGTGTCAAATGGACTCAGCTTTTCAGATAATGAAAAGGAAGAGGACTTCTAGAGAAAGGCTTTGTGGTGGTGGCTACAGTAGGACTCTAGGAAAACTCAACCAGAGCAAATCAGGGCGAATGCAAAAAAAAAAAAAAAAAAAAAAAAGAAAGAAAGAAACAATATTCCTATAAGAGCTGTCCAAACTCCCCACGCCCAGCCCCTCTCCAGCACCCTCACGTTGTTTAGATTTCAGGCTCTTGAAGAAAATGTATTTCTTTTGACATTTAATAATGTCTGTTGACACGCAACATCCCTGCTAGGCCTTTTCATTTTTTTTTATTAAATGATGTAAATTCTGTAACTGAGACCAGTTGTCATCAAACATCATAAAGCCAATCATGCCTCAAGTCATCAATATTTATTGTCCCCGGTGGGGGAGAGGCTGTTTTCAGTTTGGGGCAGATGGGTTTAATTTTTAAGTGGGATAGTTAAAGCAGACGCACCTAGGATAAAATGTCAGGCCAGCAAGGATCTGCCGACATGGTACGATTGAGATGTTCACACAGCTGGAAGGAAGGGGATGGGGGAGAGAAGGGTATCCAGGGAGAAGGGAGAGAGGCAAAGTGGAGGGGAGGCATGGGCCAGAGAGGGGGGAAGAAAAAAAAGTGGTTCTAACTCTGGGAAATGAACTAGGGGTGGTGGAGGGGGAGGAGGGTGGAGGGTGGGGGTGAATGGGTGATGGGCACTGAGGGGTACACTTGACGGGATGAGCACTGGGTGTTATTCTGTATGTTGGTAAATTGAACACCAATAAAAATTAATTTATAAAAAAAAAAAAAAGTGGGAAGAGAGAGAAGGAAAGAATGTATGCTCATCGATGTGTAGCATTTACAGAACCCAAACCTCCACAGAAGGATGTGCAAAGACTTGGGGAGGGGAGGAGGATGACAGGCTGAGCACTCCAGTGACAAGTAAATTGGACAAAGTGAAAGTGAAGTTCAGGAGAAGGAGGGAAAGTGATAGAGAACCTGAAAGAGAAGGTAAAAGGCAATAAATGGGATAAAATGTGAGAGAAAGTGAAAGACAAAAGAATGAGAAAGGAAAGGAAAACATGAGAGTCAACTAGAAGGTGAAAAGAGAGAAGGAAAAGGAATGGGGAGATCTGTAGAGAGAGAAAGCGAGAGAAGGAGGGAGGGGAGAGGCAGGGGCAGGAGGGCCAGCCTGGGTGGTGGGGATCTTGGGGATCTTGGGGAAGGAGGGGGCAGGCCTCATGGGAGGGGGCTTGGCCAGTCTTTGGGTAGACCAGTCCAGGGTCAGTCAGGAGGGGGTGGGGTTTGTCTTCGGCACCTTCACCTGTCCCGCCTATGCCCCCTCCCCTGTTACAGACAGGCCTCTGGAATGTTCTAGAATTTTCTCATACCTGACCCTCAGGAAAAGCCAAGTATTTCATTCACATTGAGGCATAAATGACTAATTAGTAAGGCTTCAAATGGTATATTTCTGGCTGGACTCGAGTTTTCCTTATTTGGTTTTTTTAGTTCTAATGGCAAATCCTGAGACATTTGGCATCCAGGTAGGGAAAATTTCAGGAGATGTGAAGCTGGTGACCAGAGTCTCAACCATAATCAAGTCTGTCCTTCCTGAATGTTATGTGGGGGATACACTTTGCAGACCAAAAGTTCTTTTTTGGAGTAACAGACGGGAGCAGTGTGACTATGCCTTGGACCTGGGTGGCCCGGTGATAAACCTTGGGGCCTGAGGCTTCTGATTGGGACCCAGTCCTGCGCTGCTGAATAGAGGGACCAGAAGTGGGACCTATGGGGGACAGAGGATGAGAAGCCTTGTCCTTTGTCCTCGGGGTTCAGTGTCTGGCAGAGACCAGGGCCTGGGAAGGAGGAGAGGCCAACAATGGACTGCTCCGGAGTGTCCTTAAACACCCAAATTCTGCCCACGCTGGCTTTTGTGCTGATGTCAGTCAGAGGCAAGAAAGGAAGAAGGAAGGAAAAAACCTTAATAAAGAAAATTTTCAAAAAAACTCCTGGAGAAAAATAAATAGGTCAAACCTCAAAGCAAGCCCAGCAAACTCTCCCCAATGGTCCAGCTCATCACAGGCGGCCTTCCTATTTATGTAACGTGGCCCGTGAGGTAGGCGAGGGCCAGCCCCCCCCCCCCACAGCATGGATGAGGGTTCTGAGGCACAGAGGCCCCCACACAGGGTCTCAGGACCTGTTGGAAGCACCAGAGGAGCCAAACCTGAGGATCTCCCCCACATCTGCCCCCTCCCTGGAAGAAGAGATGAGGGGCGTGGATTGGCGTGCCAACACCCCATGACTGGCCTCTGTTTCTCCCACCTTGTCTTGTGCATTCCTAAGTGGAAAGAAACTGCATTCTAGGCCTCCCCCACTCCTGAATTTTCTAGTCGGATCTGGACTAGTGCCAGGGCCTGAATGCCACCATGGTCTCTCCCGGTAGCCCACAGTCGGGCAGCCCTGGTAGCTCAAGCTCAACCTTGTGTCATCTGAAACGGCTCCAGGCCACTCCTGCCCGGCACCCAGCTAGCACCCCAGAGCTCACCAAGGACACGGGGTCCCTGTCCTTCTGGAGACTGAGGCCCAGGGCTGACTGCTGACATGAAAGCTGCACTGGATGGTTCGGTGCCCCACATCTTCACTAACGTTTTGTCTTTTCTTTCTGATCCTTGGAATTGTTACCAATTAGCATCTCATTGCTTTTTAATTGCTTATTTTCTAATTACTAATGAAGTGAAACAGTTCTTCATAAACGTCTTGGCCATTTAGCTCTCTCTTCTAGGAATGGTGCACATCTTCCCGTTGGGTTTCCTGTTTTCCTCTGGCTCCTTTGCAGTATTTTGAAGTCTAGAGTCTATTCCTTTGTTGGTTTTAGACAATGTTCATTATCTCCTCCCAACCTTCCACCCCTCAGTTAACAGTGGTTCTAGTGGCCATGTTTGAACAGATATTTTTCATTTTGATGTAGTCAAGTTCACTGATCTTTGCCATGTGGTTTATGTTTCTGGTGTCTAATTGAAGAAATCCTTACCGCCCTAATGTCAAAAAGATATTCTTTTACATATTCTTCTATGGAATATGTAGCATTTTTCTTTCACATCGAGGCCTTTTCTGATTTCATCTTTGAATGTGGTTTGAATTAGAGCCACAATTTTATTCATGCAGTGAGCCAGTTACCCCAACAGAACATACTAAATAAATAATTCATTTTTTTCCCTCCACGGCATCCCCCTTTTTTTTTTGAAATCATATATCATGGGTCTCTTTCTAAGTTGTTTTCTTTATTCTGTTTCTCTGTTTCTGCACTAGTACCCCACTACCTTTATGAACACTGTAGAATGTCTTGTTTTTATGCTTTTTAAAGGGTTGATTTATAGACATTTTTACTCTGGGCTACTTTAGTCTTATTACTACAATGTGAGTCTTCCAGTGACTCTGCTGAAAATCCCAGATGTTCATGAAGGACTCTCCCTTAGCTGGTCAGAACTCAAGTGTCTCCCAAGCCTGGGTAAACTCTGGACATCATTTACCTCGTAGTGGAAACCTCAGGATGATCCTTTCCCTGGCTTCTGGGAGTTTCACTCTGAGCGAGCACATTAGAGTATTCCGCAGAAACTCCTGATGTTCTTTCTGAATTTAACCTCCTCCCTCTCTGGTTCTCTGCCCACAGGTTCCCATCTCCTCAGCCTCACTAAAGCCTCTGATCTTTCTTCTCAGAAGAAGCGACTTTCTTCTCAGCTCAGTGAGGCAGCCATGGACTGCTTGAGGCCTTCTTGTTGGTGCAGTATTCTAGAACCTTCCTCCAAGAAGGACAGGGATCATAGGATTTACCTCATTTGTTTGCCTTTTCTCAGAGACCAGAGTCCTGCCGTTGGATGCCTGAGAGCAGCTGCTTCGTGTATTTGACCCTGTTTTCTACTTGTTTATGGTGGGATGGTAAGTCCAGTTCCAGTAACTTCAACAGGACCATAGGCAGAAGTCAGGGATGACTCCTTTCATGGGCATAGGTAAACTACTCTTGCATCTGGCAATTTTGTGAACACTTCTGAATATTAAGAGCTTTCCCATTGATCATTACCATTTACAAAGAAAGTTTTTCTGTTTATTCTTTTAATTTCTACATCTTATTTTTTTCTCATTGTATTGAATGGAATATCTTACACTATATTATATAGATGGTATATATATATATATTTAGTATATATATTATGTACTTTTAAAAAGTAACCTTACCTTTTTTCTCAGCTAAAAAAATATATATAATTATATGTTGAACTGTATTGAAATCATACTCTGGATATATTGAGATAACTATGTAATTTTTCTTTTTAGTACATTAATATGGTGAATTATAATACTAGGGATGCCTGGGTGGCTCAGTGGTTCAACATCTGCTTTTGGCTCAGGGCATGATCCTAGGGTCCTGAGATTGAGTCCGGCACTTGCCTATGTTTCTGCTTCTCTCTCTGTCCCTCATGAATAAATAAATAAAATCTTAAAAAAAAAAAGAATTACAATACCAGATTTGCTGAAATGATCTTTGTGCTCTGAAATACAGTTTACCATGATCTATTTTAGCTATAATGTTGAATTTGGTGGGCTAATACTTTCCTAGCTCTTACCTTTTTTACTATTCTGAGTGTTCAGTTGAGGCATATTCCTCCGACAAAATATGTTAGACAAACTTCTCTGATTTCTCAAACAATTGGTGTAAAGCAAGGATTAACTTTTAATCTGACAATTTAAAAGAACTTATTTCTAAAATTGTTTGATACCAGGGCTTAAAATGAAAAGTTATTTGATCAGCATATCTATTACTTTATTGTTTTGTCTAGTCAATACGTCTATTTTTCTTACCCCAGTTTTGGCTTTTTATATTTTTCTGACAATTTATCCATTTTGCCTACATTTCCTGAGTTTTTCGTACACAGTTGTTCACAATATACTTTTATTACTCTCTACTGCATCTGT